CCAGGAGATAGTCTTACTTATATTGCTTGTATATTGATTAAGGGAACAGCAAACACATAAAAAAATACAGTTCTAAATCTTACATGGCTATTTAAAGCCATATATATATATATATATATATATATATATATATATATTTAGCTGGAGCTTTATTTTCAAGAAATGTTACAGTATTATGCTATGCACCTCTTATGCAATTTTTCAAGGTGCATAAGCATGATTGTGCGCACTGAATATTAAATACAGAGGTGAAAAAACACTGATACAGATGATTGACAGTGAATAACCTCTAGTTAAAAAAAACCTTACACAGTGTATATTTGAGGTTCATCTCCAAGACTGACAGCACAAGCATACAAAATAGTGTTTACTTGTGGCAAGTTACCACTCTCTCTCGGTCCTTATCAAGTTGAGTGCTAGGCTTTCCTGAACAATAAAGTCTTAAAGGAGTGTTTAAAAGAAAAGAGAATTCATAGTGTGTGTGCTTCATGTGAGAATTCCTTCAGTCTAGCATGGGAAGTGGTGATAAGAGAAGGTACAAAGAGCAGGTTATTGTTAGATCTTAGGGGACGGGCTGGAGTATATTTGTTTATTAGTGAGGACAGGTAGTAGCGAGCAGCATCAGTAAGGGCTTTGTATGTCAGAGTGAGAATCTTGAAGTTCATTCTGCTGTGCAACTTTAGCTTAATAAAGTGGTTTTGGTGTACGTATCATGTCTCTGCATTCTCATGAGTAAATTCTCTATAATTTTGGAGTTACATCACTATGTTTATGCACCTTAGCCAAGACTCCCCTGACTGTGACTCACATAGCCTTTCTATAAACTTACTGAAAACAAGCTCACATTTTTCAATGTCCCTTATTACACACTGTGTTTTATTTAGAATTTCTTATCTCCTGCTCTGTCAATGCCAATTTTAGAGGTTGCATTGTAGACATGCGATAGATTTCATTCTGAATTATAAAGCAATTTTGATAAATTTAAAAAAAATCTAATAAAAAACTGCCATTACTTAAAGGGACACTATAGTCAGCAAAACAACTTTAGCTTCATTAAGTAGTTTATGTGTCGAGATCATGCCTCTGAAGTTTCACTCCTCAATTTACTGCCATTGAGGAGTTCAATAATTTTGTTTCTGTTTATGTAGCCCTAGCCATGTTAAAACAACAATTAAAAGGCAGGTTAAAACAACAATAAAAAAGGCCCTTCTCTGGCTGTGACTGACCCAGCCTGTTTGAAAACAAAATGGTTTCATTTTCAATCACAACTTTAAAAAGTTTTATTTCCTGCTCTGTAAATTGAACTTTAATCACACAAAGAAGGCTCCTGCAAAGTCAAGCAGTCTTGCAAGTTGTTAACAGTGCATGAGGTAGGAAATTCTAATTAATTAAACAGACTGTGTGATAAAGGAAGTTTAAACATTAGATGACCCTTTATAGGAAGTGTTTAGGAAGGATGAGTAAGTCACACACAGGGAGATGTGCTTAGGGCTGCATAAACAAAGTGATTTAATCCCTAAATGGCAGAAAATTGAGCAGTGAAACTGTAGGGGAATGATGTATACATAAAAAGTGCTTTAAGCTAAAGTTGTTTTGGTGACTATAGTCTCCCTTTAAGCTTTCTCACCATTCTTGATCTTAACAACCAGAGAAACAAAATTCTCCAAAAGCACAGGACTAGCTCTATGATCTACTCTTAATCTGCATTACTGTACAAAATCTCAAGTGATCAGAAGATCATTACCACTGCAGAGGTTATGATGCTTGGTCATGGTGATGAATGGGTCTGAACAAAAACTAGTGTCTTAGCTGATTTCATTGACCATTACATTTAATTGAGTGTGAGCACATGATTTGATTCACCACATGCCAGTAGTAGTTGCAAATAGCAACCAACAGAAACATTATTTTCAAACTGAATAATGTATGAGCCAAATGCATAACAAAGCTGTGCAGTGTTATTTTTTCTGGAGTTAAAATACTGTAAACAGATTTTTAATTAAGCTTCAAGAATGTAAGGGAAGTTTTAAAATAAGAACAGTGTAACTTAACATTAATTTAACAGTGTCATTCTCCTGAAAGATCTATCAAGAAGAGTTATGCAATTGGTATTCTGTCATTAAATATATTCATAATTCAGCATCTTGTAAAATTTACATCACACGTCCATGGGGATCAAGCATTGAAACCTATTTAGAGAAGCATGTATTACACCTTGTACTGTTTAATAATGTCCTCATAAAATCAATTGTAATTTCTAGGCATGAATACATAACTTTCATTAAAACATCATGTTCTTTTCTTATAGTTTTAATTTGTCTTTTATTCTTAAAAGTTAAAATATATAATGAGCATATATTATGTCAAGTTTTATCATTATATTAACAACATTGCTAAAATTATAAAAAAAAAGTAATATAAAATTTATAGCATAATTTATTTAAAAACAAAATCAGAGTTTTAGCAAAATGCCAATGCTAAACAATAGCTGACTTGAACATAAAATAAACTGGTTCAGGTTTGGAATTGTCACATTGGATTTGTCTAATGAACTACAGTATAACCAAAAATAACATTCCTCACAGATTCAAGCAAATTCAAACATTACTGTTGTGGTAACAGGCTTTCTTGGAATTACCGTGAATATAGTAGATTTTTCTCAAGGTTCTACTTAAGAGCATCAGGTAATGCACAAAAGCAGTTGTTAAATTTAAAGAGACTTATTGTTTTTTGTCTTCCCATAAACTATTTCATTGTTCACTATGTGCTAGAAATGTGCATGGATAAAAAAATTTAATTTGGCCAAAGCAATTCATCAAAAAATTTTTGGTTGCAGATAGACCAAAATTTGCCAAAAATATTCCATTTTGGGAAAAAATATTCAGAGAAACCAAAAGGATGTGAAAATGGACAAGTCGGTGCACTGCAAAATATATACATATAATAGAAGGAAAAAAGTAGCGGTAAAACCACAAAATTAAATAATTAATTATATTAAATATATAATTACTAAAGACATATATATGTAGATATAGTTGTATCTTTTTAACTGCTCCTCCTTTTTTTGGCACCTTTAGAGAAAACTTTAATTTCTGAAACAAATCAAACTGTTTGCCCATTGTACATTTGAGTTATGTCTATATTGCGCGTTTCGGAGTTACGGAATTTGGAAGATACACTAATCACCCAAAAGCTTGACAGATTAACTTTAACTCCTTGATCAGTACAAGAGCTGTACTGATGGAACCAGAAAGGTTGAAACCATTCAGTGCATGCTTGATCTTTGGTCATTGGTTATTGTGGATCATGACCCATTCTTTGGTTTAAAAAAACTGTGTTTAGAACAGTGCTCTGTTGTTAAGGGAAACTTGAAAATATGCAGGATGAAGTTTTAAAAAAAGATAATTCCTATCTGTGCTCATTTGAATGTCTGGGACTTTTAGAGGATTTTGGGGAAACATGATTTCTTGGAATTACTATGACTAAGGTAGGTTTTCCCCATGGTTCTACTTGAAATATACAATTAGCTCACAGCTAATAACATAATTTCTCACAAAAAACAGCAGATATTAAATCAGCAGAATACCCACCCCTTCACAGAAATAATGAAAACACTATTTTATAAGAAATAACAATTTTTGTTTTGTAGATGTAATTAAACTGTAGCTAACTGTTTGACTTCTTACCTGGGATCCATAAAGCACCACTACTTACCATTCATGGAAGCATCCCTTTGGCTGTAGCCTCAATGGCTGCAAATTATTAAAAAGAGTAAGTCATGGCAAAGGTCATAGAATATGGCTTCAGTACAGTTAAAGCTATTTGGCTAGTAGTATATAATGCAATTAAGTTGCATACACAAAATAAAATGAAATCACAAAGGGTGAGTGGATGTAAATAAACCTTGCTATTTCAGAAACACCCTTTATATTATATATGCCTAATCTTTAAATCAAAATACATGATGCTATACATTTTATCACAAGTGTAATCATACAATCAGTGACATAATTCACCATGATATTTATAATGTGTGTCAGTAAAATAAAATAGTAAACGACAATAATTATGAAATAAAATAGTTATTTACACACAATTAATAAAAACAGTGATACCTGTGACACTGCACCATGAATCTCTTATTCCTGTATAAAATTGAAAAAAAAACATAAACTCTATATACAAAATGCACAATTTATTTATATTAATAGCAGAAAAGAAGATAAAAAAAATTGTGTGATACACGCCTTAATACTACAAAAAAAGCTCTAAAAGAAGGCTACCAATAAAAGTGTTCTGTAGTTGGTATGTAGCAGAGTTCTCTTCTATCATCCATAAAGATGAAGAAGTGAAAGTAAAAATAGTGTAGACAGTTTAAGTGTAACTATAAAAACACAATTTATTTACCCACATAAAACCAAAGGTATGGCAGCATATGAAGAAAGAACAGGAGGTCTCCATATCCCTTATCTAGTCCTGCCTTGTGATGATCAACCCTACACATTTCATGATTCTCTTTGGACATCTTTTATTATTTTCCTTTATTGGTGTGTGCGTTTGTGCATGTGTGTGTAGTATGAGATTAGAACATTAGTAGTGGGATAAATTAGTGTTTATACACATTTTGTCTTAATTCATAATGTATTTGTAAAAGTGCAGTGGCAAATTAAATGTATGAGCACAGCTCCTTAAGAATCAGATCAAATGAAGAGTGCAAAAAAAAAATCTGATTCAGTTCAAGTAAATCTGAAAGTGTAAACTTTGTTTTACTTTTTTATTCTGGTATGCCTTGTATTCCTGCAGAATCGACATTTTATAGTCTCAGTTACATTATTGATAATAAGCTTACCAAATTATTAAATATTTGTGGATAAACCTTTGAAATGATTTAAAATGTTTTATTAACATTTATAGTCACATGGTCACTAGTGATGTCGCGAACCGTTCGCGAACTTCCCGCGAACGTCTCGCCGCGAACGGTTCGTGGCGAGCTCCGGTCAGCTGACACATCACGGCCAATCTCCAGCAGACCCTCCCTCCCAGGCCTTCCCACCTCCTGGACAGCATCCATGTTGAAGCTGCCTTCAACATGGATGCTGTCCAGGAGGTGGGAGGGTCTGGGAGGGAGGGTCTGCTGGAGATTGACCGGGATGTGTCAGCTGACCAGAGCTCGCCGCGAAAGGTTCGTGGGGAACCGCGGCGAGCCATTCGCGGGAAGTTCGCGAACGGTTCGTGACATCTCTAATGGTCACTAATATTTAATGTCTGAGGAATCATCTATAGACAACCGTACTAAAGCCATAATCATAATTCTCCAGATAAGGAACTTTATATTTATGCATTTTTTTATCAGTCAAATTTTATCGAATGTATATGTAAGTCTTCTCACATGAACAACATGACAGGACAAAGTTACATAGATCAGTGATTATCAGAATGAATAGACCGTCACATGTTTATGCAATTTGTAACACTACAATAGTATGTAAAGCAAATGGATCACAAACTAATTCTATGCATTTCACAGCTTCAAATATTTATTTAAAAAAATATCTAATTTAAATCCATAACAGTGCTATGTATTTTATTTAGGATTTTTCTCTTCACGTTAAAAAAATAATAATCTTTGACAAAATCTTCAGGCAAAAAGGCACTTGATCCAGAAGTTCTCATACTCAAAAAGTACCTTTAGACTCACCTGAAAGAAATAAGACCAGAGTAGACTATCACCACATGGAGATACTTTTGGCTCATTTTCAAAACTTTGTCACAGATGACATATATCAGCTCCCCGTGAAGGATGAGTTACAGTTTCTCCTTCAGAAAATGTAATTGACCTTTAAAGAACAGATAGCGAACTTTAAGAAGAACATTTATCAAATAGGCAACATAGTTGACAGTTTGGAATCTGATACAGAACATTTTCTCATGCTTCAAGATAAAGTACAACAATACATCTTGTCTTTCCATGAGAAAAATGATTTACACAGATATGTCAGAGATATCAACAGAGAAAGGAGGAGCAACTGCAAGATCAAGAATGTATCTGAATCCATATCCAATTCAGAAATGATTTGCTCACTTCAAGAGATTTCTAGTTTTATCATGGGTAATGCCTGGCGACTTTCACGTCCAAACTGACAGAGCTCATAAACTATGGAAAATGTCTAGCCTAAGGATAGAGCAGCTGATAGAATCTGTCATATACGCTGTTTCTACAAAAAGGAAGAAATTATTGATAGTAACGTAAAATGAATAATAGTATGAATAATAACATATATTGCTCCAATATAAATGAGAGATTGAGCATATTTTACTTAGTCTGGTACTTTTAACATTAAATACAATTGGATTTTAACATGTTTAAATGTATCATTTTAGCTTAAAGAGACATCTTCCAATTTTGGATTAGCCTAAATAATATTAAAGTGTGTACCAATAATTATTTTACATTTTTTTAGCCACATCATCAGAAATTTCCAAGTCTGGAAGACTGCTTACATCCACTACAAAAGCTAGCCATTACTTTTATTTGGATTCAATATGTATTTATTTAAACATTTAAAGGTAAGCACTAAAAGAGAAACTTCCAATTCACTCATCAATCAAGAATGTTTTCAATACATTGCCATAACAGTTCCACCAGGAAACTAGATAAGCTTTACTGAGTGCATGCGTGCTTCACTTACAATCATTTGAACAAATATGGCTTCTGACTTGCAATATTTTACATACATTTATTTAAAGCAGCATACACCATGGTTAAAGATAAGCTTTAGTTCTTGTCTTTTTTTATGCTTACACCTAGATGAGGCAGGTGTAATTTTTAGTCATATTTTATGTATGCTATTCAGATATTAGAATAATTGCATAAAACTATTTAAGAGAACACAGAACAGACAGTACAGTAAGAATGCGCCTAAAATTATACTAAAATATATAAAATGCGTAAAATATGAAAACAAAAATAGTGCAAAAACTTAACAAAGTTTGTAATGAATAGTCCCACGTAAAGATAAAAGGAGATTCTTTAGGGTTCGAAGTAAGGTCAAATCTTCATATAGGATTCAGTGGAGCATATGTGGAGAAAAGAAGAGACGAGACTCCAATGGTACAGTATGTAAGTATGTTGACAATAAGACAATAAGATAGGTCTTACTCACAATTTTCAGAGCTGAGAATCCAGCTCTGATGTTGAGCACGTGAAGTGGAATAATCCCCACTCAAGGATATATGGAGTAGACTTCAAATAGCGGTTCTCTGGTACTTATTCAGCGTCAAAGTACGGACCCAAAAAAAGGAAGATAAAATATATAGTGCTCTCTGTTATAACAGTAAAATATAAAATGTAAATTGAGTATTACTCACATTCTTTTGAGCAGGTATATACTGCTCACTGTAAGCGCTTGGGTGGTATAATCCCCACCTATGGATTCTTTAACTTTCTTCTGAGATTAGGCAATATAGATAGTCAGGTGAAAACAAAACAAAGAAAATGGCAATAAAGTGTTTTATGCCAAAAAAGATTTTATTATAACTTAATAAAATAATATCTAAACGCGTTTCGCCACTAGGGCTTCTTCAAGTAGATAAAAGTGCAAAAGGGGGGACATACCTGACATACAAAGTTTATATAGGGTACAATAAGGTTGTGGGTTTAAAATTCCCGCCAAAAATGACATCATCAAAACGTCCAAAATAGTACATACAGAGAAACTATAATTTTTCATACATATATATAGATATAGAGAATGTGAGGTAAATACAATATTGTTAATTAAAAAACGAAGGTTTTTAACATTGTAAATAACATATTAAAAACAATCACGTGACGCGCGATCTCTAAACACTTCCGCGTCACGTGATGTTAGGTGGAACGCATGCGTTCCGTTAGTATGGAACGCATGCGTCATAGAGAGGGAGGAGAATTCTCCCAGTGCTCGGGAGGAGATGTAGCCGAGCAGAGAGAAGGCTGTCTGCTGGAAACAGCAAGCAGACAGCCTTCATAGTGGCACAGTGCACACACTAATCGTCCACTCACAGCAGACAGACAATAAGCATGGACCAAACCATAAGATCAAAGCCAGACATAAACATATAAAATTATGAACAGATTAAAATATTTTTTTTTTTATAATAGTATAGAATTATAATCTTATTGAATAGGGCAGAGTTCATACAAAATATGCATACAAATGTACAATAGCCTTCCACAGAGAACAATACATATAAATAAGATAAGTATAAAAAGGGATATATCCATAAAAAAAGGTAATGTTGAAATATAATTATAAATGAGTCCAATAAAATAAAGTAAAACATTTTTTTTTTTTTTTTTTATAAAAAAAGGTTATAAAAAATTAAAAAGATCAAAATCAATATTCAGACCTTTTGGGGCAAGGGTTTTCAAGTTATATGTCCATTCCATTTCTTTTTTGCCAAGAACTTTTTTAATGTCACCACCTCTCCATGGGACATTACATATATCTATGCCTAAACACTTAAGATATTTTGGGTTCTTTTCGTGTTGTAGGAAGTGTTTAGAAACAGAATGATTCTCATAGCCTTTTAGAATATTCCTACAGTGTTCGGCTAGTCTTGTTTTTAAATTTCTAGTGGTCATACCAACATATTGTAGTCCACATGGACATTCCAAGAGGTAAATTACGTTTTTAGTATTACAATGAATAAAGTGCTTTATTTGATACATCTTCTGTGTGATTGTAGATGTGAACGATGTAGTTTTAGACTTGATAGTATTACTTGTACGTTTGCAAACAATGCATCTATTACATTTATAAAAACCGCTCGGTTTATTCAAAAGGATAGAAGGGCTAGGAGATGAGGTACTGTGTTTGTATTTGGTATAATTACTTGTAAGGATGGACTTAAAGCTGGGTGCCCCCCTAAATATAACTTGTGGTTTCTCGGGGATAATCCCAGCTACAGTCTCATCCTCTTTTAATATATGCCAATGTTTCTTTATGATCTTCTTCATAACATTACTTTTGTTATTGAAGTCGAAAATAATTGGCAATACTGGGGCGGTTTTCATTTCTTTATTTGCTTTATATTCTAGAAGTTCAGATCTATTAGTTGTACTTATATTTTTTAATGTTTGATCCACATTGTTTCTAGGGTAATTTTTTTGGAGGAATTTATTAGACAATAATTGAGACTGTTCCTCAAAATCTTGTGTGAGGGAACAGTTTCTACGTAAGCGGAGAAACTGGCTTTTTGGTATCCCTTGAAGCCATGGTTTGTGGTGACAACTCGATACATCGATAACGTTATTGGTGCATACCTTCTTAAAAAAAGTTTTAGTATGGATTTGATCATTTTTAATAAAAATCTCTAAATCTAAAAAATTGATAGAGGATTTGCTAAAATCCCAAGTTAAGACAATACCTTTATCATTATTGTTAAGATGTTGTAAAAACTGGTTAAGAGAGTCTTCTGGGCCATCCCAAATAAAAAACAAATCATCAATGTATCTGAAATATGTGACCAGGCTCGCCCGCCAGCCATGCTCTCCCAAAATGGCGGTGGACTCCCAGTCTGCCATAAAAAGGTTAGCATAGCTGGGGGCAAACCTGGTCCCCATAGCAGTTCCCTGTTTTTGTAAATAAAATGAATCTAAAAACCAAAAATAATTATTGGTTAAAATGATATTAATACCTTGGATAATAAAATCTATTTGTTGATCAGGGATATTCTTTTCAGCTTTTAAAAATTTTTCAACTGCTAGACAGCCTTTTTTGTGGCAAATAATGGTGTACAAGGATTGCACATCACACGTTACTAAAACATATGTATTTTTCCATTTAAAAGTATTTAAAAAGCGGAGTAAGGACATCGAATCTTTTAAATATGAATTCATACGTTTCACTGAGGGTTGTAAAAGAATGTCCAAATACTCAGATAAATTTGATAAAATAGACTTAATACCCGACACAATGGGTCTACCTGGGGGATTAATAATATCTTTATGAATTTTCGGTAAAAAATAAATAACTGGGATAATGGGATGAGATACACTGAGATATTCAAATTCATGTTTACTTAAAATATTTAGTTCACGACCATTATTTAAAAAGGAAGTTAAAATTTGCTGAATTTTAGATGTGGGGTCTTGTGCTAACTTTTCGTAAACAGTAGA